ATAAAATAACTAAAAGAATATATTTTTTAATTTAAAGATTAAAAAAATAATTTAAGAATTTAAAATGTTAAAAATCATAAATTTATAAACTAAAATTAACATTTAAACTTTAAAAAAGATTGTGTAATGTGTACGGCAATAACTAAACTAATTGCACCCTAGACCTTCCGGTGAAAATAATATTTTAGAAAAAGGAAATGATTTAAAGATCATTTTTCTTATAATTTTTTATATTATTTAAATAATTAATTTTTTTATTTATTAAAATTTATAATATTAAATATACTTATGTATTTAAAATTATATAAAAATTAATATAAAAAATTATCTTTATATCACTATTTATTTTTTTAAAAAAAAGGTGACGGATGAAATGGTGCCACGTCAGCTACCGACACCCTTGCTTCAGATGGTTATTCTTTGTACTTAAATTGACGTGCAAGTTGGCGGGTGGGAGTGTCGGGGATGCCAGCGGGGCTGTTTGTCTGATGGGAACCAACCCTGAACATTGCATTGCATCCCCCTAAAGCTGTTGTTAAGTCATTTCAATGCAAGACTTTTGCTTTTGTCCTGTTAGGCAACTTGCAGAAAATTAGGGCGCAAGACACATAAAATATTATAAGCATATTTAATTTATAAATATTTTTAATATATGTCTTTAAAATATAAATTAAAAGTATATTTATTATATTTTTTAATTATTAATTTATATAAAAAGTTATAAAAGTTAATTTTATTTTTAATATTAATATTATATAAGATAATTTAATTAAAAAATTAATAAAATTAAAATTAATTTTTATTTTTTTTATATAAATCAATAATAAAAATATGTAATAAATGTATGTTTAATCTAGGTAAAACAACAAGTTCACTCTTTAAAAAAGTGAATAGAGACAGATCAATTACTCAAAAAAGTGTAGGAATAAATTGTCTCTCAAAATCATAAATTAATATAAATTACTCATTTTTTAAACTAATTTTGTTAACTTTTCATTAAAAAATGTTTACGTGGCAAATAAAATATGTTAAAAAATAGATGATTTATACTAATTTATAATTTAGAAGGATAATTTATTCTTACACTTTTTTGAGGGGTTAATCTATCCTTATCTACGTATTTTCAATGGTGGATTTGGGGATTCTACCTTTAATCTACATGTTAAAAAATTCCTTAATTTATTTGATAGTATCAATTAATAATTAGTTAAAATGCTAAAAATATTAATTTATAAGTTGATTTTAAATTGTTATGTAATTGGCATTAGCTCTTTTATTAATTAATAATTAGAGTTAGTAACTATTTTTACCAATAAAATCAAAAACACTTATAGCATTAAATTTAATATTTTATAATTTAAATTGTATCAAATTATAAAATAAAAACTCTTAAAAGAAGAGGGCCTCTAATACCAGGGAAGCTGTCTTTTATCTAAGAATTGATAATTTATAATTTAGTATTTTTCATTATGAAAAGCACTTTTTTATATAGTATTTTTGTATGATTTTAACTATTATTATTATTATAATAATTATAGGTCACAAAAACAAAAACAACTCTTTTATATCTTATAATTGAGTTTACCTTACTTATATATTAAATAATTTAAAATTAAAATCTTTTATGTAAATTAAAAAGATATTATTATTAAATTATTTTACTCTTTGATATCTTAATAATTATTTTTGTAACCATAACCGTGACCATTAATTTTTTTTCTAATTTTTATAATGCCAACATGCACTGAACCATACTAAAAGTAAAGAAGTGAAAGCGAAGTCACTCCAAACTAGTTGACGGGGTGAATGAGCACAAAATTCATTGCGATTGCGATGAGATATTTTTATAAGTTTCTTATTCCATTTTAAAATGCCCTGTTACTTGCGTTCCTGCGTGGATTCCCGTCATGGGGGCAAGGGAGCAAGGTTGTCAAAA